AAATAGAAGCCATTCAGCTTCTCTCTGTACTGCCTCTTGGCCACTGTAATGGCTTTCCTCAGTCTGTACTTTGCAGCTTTGTACTCCATCTGAATGCATGAGAGCGAGCATGCAGCATGTGGTGTACCTGACTGTTTATCCAGGGCTTCTGGTTGGGGAACCTCCTGACTTGTATGGTGGGAACAATGTTGCTGATGCAGGTACTAATGTACCTGATCACATACTCAGCATGGTCCTGTACGCTGACAGAAAAGTCCTCCAAGGCGGCTGCAGCTTTAAACACATCCCAGTCGGGAATGTTCACATGTTGGTAATATTTGGGGAGTACAGTCCGTAAATTGCACTGGTTAAAGTCACCTGCAGCAATAAATACAGCATCGGGGTGCGCTGTCTCTAGCGCGCTGATGACATCATAGAGTTTGCTGAGAGCTGCAGAGGGATTAGCTCTTGGGCTAACATACACAGCAGCCAGAAACACAGCACTATGCTCTCTTGCTAGATAATAGGGCCGGCATTTCAGCAATAAAAACTCTATGTCTGGTGAACAGTGCTTATAAACAGTCCGTACATGTCCACACCATGAGTTATTGATAAACACACACACCACCTCCTTTTACCTTCCCCGAAGCAGCAGTGCGGTCACCTTGATGTGCAGTGTGTGTTTGTAGCTGAATCGCAGAGTCTGGGACTCTGTCAGAAAGCCAAGTCTCGGTGAGAATTAGAGCACAGCATTCTCTGATTTCCCATTATGCTGTAAACCTAGCCCTTAGCTCGTACAGTTTGTTTTCCAGAGGCTGGGTAATGGCGGTCAAGTAGTGTGAGCTTTTAGCCTAGGATGGAGTCCTCCTTGCCTGCCTCCTTGCGTCTCCATCTCCGGTTCGCTCTCATGATTTCAGCCTGCTTGCTTGTGCCTGGTGCTTCAGGGGCTCCCTGATGGTGATGGTGGTTGTCGTTGTTGTTGTTGTTGTTGTTGCGGGACCAGACAATGAGTTGTGGCTCCGGTGGTATGAACCCAGTAAATTCCCAGTGGCTGTGTGAGTTGGCGATATCCAGCAATGCCTGTCTGTTGTATGTTAGCAGTGTATGACATTTGTCCACTGCAGAAAAAGTAAAAAACACAAAAAAGAAGAAAACGAAGAAAAAGCCAGCATTCGAGAGTGGAACATGCAAACACGTCTGCCTCGGTGGGCGCCATGTTCAGATGTTCACCTACAGGTGCTCAGGAAGAACCACATCTCCCAGAGACTGCTGGTGTCCTTCTATTGGTGCTCCACTGAGAGCATCCTTAAATACTGTATATGTGTATGGTACAACAGCAGCATATTTCAAAAGTATGAAGTTTAGAAAACATCTGAATAGAAGCATGAATGTCCTTGAAGAGATAAACATTTTGATAGCTGTTTAATGTAGGATCCATTTTCTATTGTGTATGCTGACACAGCAGAGAAGTGTTTACAGAGGTGTGTGGCTGTAGTAGTAAGGCAGAGAAAAGAGAAAGACAAAGAGATACAAAATGGCATTGCAGGTAGCTGCCTCGGTATGTTGGTGTATACACAGTTTTGTTTTGGTTTGTTTGTTAATTATGTGTTTGGAACAGGAAACCAACTCAGATTACTCAAATTAATTTTGGCACTCCAGGATGAAGCTGCCACAAAACAAACATTTTTTTTATGCAATTCAGTCAAGCTTGCTCTGGGTAACAGTCACAGAGGGCATTATCACCTCATGAATCCTGTGCTTTGTACATAAAGAGAGTTCTTTATGACTCTGGCTGGATGTTTGGCAAGATTAATAGGGAAAAGGGCATCTGGGGCACCTTGCTTAGCCTGCTGCCAATTAAATATACATATGATTCATATAGGCACACATGCACTGTGTGGGAATTGACATTGCCAGTGTAGACTATTGTTGCTGTGTTTGACTTTGTAAGTCTATATGTATATAGCAGTATGTGTGTCTGCTTTGCTGCCTTCATTTCACACTCTCACCATTTCCCTTTGTAGTTCGTCCACAGGCATCCATTTCCATTGACATGCTGTCTAATAGTAGCATCCTAGAGCTCACAGACCAACCAGAGGGCTGGAGATCTGGAGATCGGGTGGTGGTGGCCAGTACAGACTACTCGATGTACCAATCTGAAGAGTTTATCCTCTTGCCCTGCCCTACCTGCACACCCAACCAGGTCAAGGTCCAAGGTGAGAGAACCACTGACCTACAGTGTGTTACCATTATTACATCACCATTTTTATTGTTGTTGTTGTTATGGCATTACCATTCCCTATTTATAGAGTAGTGGACAGTTCAACAGCAACAAAATGATCACACAATTGAATCAACACCTCTCTGAAACAGTTTGAATCAACACCTCTCTGAAACAGTTTGATTAAAAACTGAACATTATAACCTTAATGAAGGAGGATGTATTGCATCCAACCAAAGAGCCAATATGTGGCTTGACACACAGCATCTGCACTGTATTTGCTCTGGTTAAGCAGCGGCCAGCCCAGCTGACTTGTAATGGCAGTCACCTCTGAGAGCTGGGTCTGTTCGGTTGTCTAACCACTGACACTGTTCTACCAACACTGTCTATCAAAAGAAGACTATTACCAACTCCAGTGAGTCTGTAGCTATATTAGCACCATTACAAGTTCTGTATGGGTGTAGGAGTGAAGGCAAATCTGTAGGGTCATCAGGTGGGTGCCCTGTTACTACTAACTGGTGTTTTGTTGAGTAACATACACCCAACACAACACTTCCTTTGCTTAGGCTAATTCAGGCTAACTGTTACCAAACAGTCACTAGCACTAGAAACATTTCAACTGCTGTTCTAGCCACCAAACATTTAACATAACTCACCAAACATTTCAGATAGTTCACCAGATAACTAGCCAGACTTCTACTACCTTATACATATACTGCATCAGAAACCACCATGTGTTAGTATTCATTCCAACAAACCAGTCAAATATCTACTATGCGCTCATGTTAGCTTGCTCATGCTAACACCAGGAAGTAGGCCTCAAGCCTGCTGCATTTATCAAACACCTGAGGCCTAGTGAAAAAGTTTCATTTTAAATTGAAATGGCAAGCTACATTAAGTCAGCTTTTCCTTTATAGCACTGAAAACTGAAATCACTTTAAGTGATGCACAGGGTTAAAAGCAAAGGGTGAGAGAACAAGATACAAGCTGAACTAATGAAAAAAGACAGCACGTAAAGCAAGCAGTGAAAATGCATCAGTCACACAAAAAGGTAAAACTGCATCATGAATCTGTTTCTTAAAATGGCAGTGCATTCTGGTCATGCTTAATACAGTCAGGCACCTTGTGTCCCAGTTAGATGGTGGAATAACAAAAGGTAATAGCACTTAGTTTGAGCTTGTGTTAATGCTGGTAGATCACAGCATGAAAAAGGACTTGGATCACGAAATATGAGCGACTGATTATTAGACAGGTTTGGAACTATTTCTGAGGTTAGTCAAACTTATTTGGAACAAAGAACAAAGGTGAACTATCTCTTGTAAACATTGAAAAATGGTTTGAATTTTGACTTGCCATGCTTATCATAGTTGTGTGCACTCACTGCTTTCATGTGCAATGATGGCAAATGGTCGTGTACTTGTATAGCGCTTTTCTATGCTTTACAGCACACTCAAAGTGCTTTCACACTACTTGGCCATTCACCCATTCGCACTCACAAACACACATTCACACACCAGTGTTATCTCCGGGAGCAACTGGGGGTTCAGCGTCTAAATGATGGATTGTTAGCAGCAATATGAATGTGTTCACTTTCATTTTGACCTGTAATTGAAGTGGCTTTGGTAGCTAATCTGGCAAAATTTTCAGTTTACAACCTATGTAACTTTGAAAGTCGTCACATTTTATATATTTGGCTCAATGAGATTTGCAGTGTGTACAGCATACAAAGTCCTCTGTCCTTAGACCCTCCAGTAAAAAAAGCCCTAAAAAACCCTTTTATAGGAAAAGAAGAGATAAACCACAGGGGGGATGGACACCGTGTATACAGCAAAAAGTAACATAGTAGATTTACAGTATAGACAATCAAAACAACAAGCGTCCAGGTGCAACATGTAGGATCTGAGCCACACAACTTCCTCTCTACCATGAAGACCTGGAAAGAGGATAGATTAACCACAGGGACAACAGATAAAATCCAAGCACACCATTCACATATCTGGATAGGAAGACAAATGCACAGAAGGAGAGAAACTTGATTATTTGAGGAAATTGAGTGACAACAGCTCACAAGTCAGACTTACTTTGACCACTGTAATGGATGGACCATTGTTTTTTTACCGTGGCTCTTTAGCTTCTTTCATGTGTTATTTTATGTGCCGATGTGTATGTGGATTTCCTGCATTTTGTACCAACTGGAGCACACAGCAGCATTTACTGCAACTGTATTCACCACCACACTAACCTGTATGTAAATGTATATAGAAACAGTGATAGAGGCCAGGTTGAGACAGCCTAGAGTTGTGTTTGGACTGACTCAGGGCCAGAGAAAAGTCTCAGCCTGCGTTCCGGAGGCTCCTGACTGGGCCCATTCACACTGATACACATATACACACAACACACATGCTAGTATCCATAACCCATACACATATTAAATACACAGACACTTGTTTTATTTCTTTCATCTTAAGTGCATCACACACAGACACCCCCCCATTTTTTTCACTTACTGAGTCTCTACACAGACTTACATTAATTTCCAGGAGACTTACCCTAATCTTAACCAGAACTGCTACTTACCTAACCTTAACCCCTTCACCTAACCAAATCTAACACTTGGCCTAACCTTACACTCCATAGTTTCTTTTTAATTTTTTTTATTGCAACACAAAATAACATTTACAGGACAAACAACATAACATAGAACATGAAACAACAGACATTAACAAAAGAGACAAGAGGATTATTAAATTTAGTTTATGTGTGTGTCAAAGTGTGTAGTGTGGCTATATCAAACTCTATGCAAGCTGTTATTAAGTAAAGTCTCTTTTGGGCCTTTTAAGCAGTCCAGAGGTATTTACGCCCCAGGTCTGATCCTTCTCAATATGGACTCCGAGAAAGTGGAAGGCTGGCACCCTCACCACACGGTCCTCGATGATATACAGTGGCAAGATGTCGGTTTTATTCCTCATGAAGTCGACAATGGCCTCCATAGTCTTTGAGGTATTAAGGAGCAGATTGTTCTCTCTGCACCACACTATCAGCCTCTCCAAGGGCTGATCCCTGTAGGTAGTCTCATCCCCCCCAGAGACAAGCCCCACCACCGTGGCATCATCAGCAAATTTTACAATGGTGTTGCTGTGGTGGGCCCAGGTGTAGTCGTGGATGTACAGGGTGTAGAGCAGGGGGCTCAGCACACATCCTTGTGGGGAACCAGTGCTGAGGCTGAGAGCCGTGGATGTGTTTGGGCCCACTCTCACCCTTGGGCTGCGTCAGGACAGGAAGCTCTTAATCCATGTGCAGGTGGGATATGGAAATCCCAGGTCCACCAGCTTGTCCGCCAGTTTGTTGGGGAGGATGGTGTTGAATGTGGAGCTATAATCCACATAGAGCAGCCATGCATAGCTCTCCTGATGCTCCAAGTGGGACAGCACAGCATGGAGGGCTGTGGCTACGGCGTCCTCTGTGGATCTATTTGCCCTGTATGCAAACTGGTGTGGGTCAGATGTTGGTGGGAGGAATGACATAATGTGTCCCTGTACCAGTTTCTCAAAACACGTCATCACCACTGGAGTGAGTGCAACTGGCCTGTAGTCATTGAGGCTGGTTATGTGGAGTTTTTTAGGCAGGGGAACTAGGATGGAGGGCTTCAGGCAGGGTGGGACAGTGGACTGGGCCAGAGACTGGTTGAAGATCCTGGTGAAGACTCCAGCCAGCTGGTCCATGCAGTCCTTCAGCACATGTCCGGGGACGTCGTCTGGTCCGGCAGCCTTCCTTGGGTTTATGGCCCGCAGCATGCGCCTCAGTTCATGCTCCCCTACGAGGGTGAGGGTGGGGCTGCTGTGGGGAGCAGGGTGCAGTTTGGCTGTGTCTGGTTGCTGCTCCTCAAAGCAAGCAAAAAAGAGGTTCAGCTCCTCTGCCAGCGAGGCGTCCTTCAGCCACACCGAGATTATTCCTGTGGTTGGTAAGATGAATCCAACCGGTGGTTGCCGCATCTTCCACCACAAATGCTTCACGCTACAGGCAAACACATTTCCAAAGTAGTAACATTAATTCACACAGGTTGCATTGCACCAACAATATCATGGATTGTTAGTATCCTGTTGCCAACCGGTAATACCTTACATGCTACAAACACACTTGCCTCAAGCAGTCAAAACAAACAGGTACTGTGCTCTGGGGGAATCCGGTATTGGTGAGCTGATCATTCACCGCCCCAGGGGCTTCACTGGCCAGCTGGTTGAAGGTGTCTAACAATGTTACCTGTTACTCAAATGATTCATGGTCTTGCTTTACTTGCCAGAGAAATCGATGTGCAGAAATTTGGACTTTTGCTTTATGAAAAACACTGGTCTGTTCTCCAGTGTGAATGGTGGCTGTTTTCCTTTTTGATGCTATTCCCAATCCCAGGGTCCAGGTATTGAGCATGTTTTACTAGATGCTGAAATAGAACAGAGACATAATTAATGTAATAGTTACAACTGTGCTTTAATCATTCACTATACTTTAATTAAGCATATTTAGAACTTAGAAAGGGTTAACAGTGTGCTTGAAATCATAGCTCTTCTGATAATTATATCCTTTCAAATCAATATTTGTTTAACTTTCAGGAACTTTTGTCTCAGTCAGGAGTGATGATATAGTATTACATCTTAGTGATTATATTCGTGCATGCACATGAGGTCTGGAAGAATTGTTGGCATATTACATGTCTACACACATGATCCCAGACTGACTTCCCTGGACATATTGTACAGTAGTCACTAGTAGTAAAATGTAGTAAACTGGGATCTAATGTATTTTATTCCTTGACTTTTGATGTTTTAAGTATGAGCTGGAATGAATGTGTTGATTTGTACATTGTGAGTCCTGGCTGTGCTGGTGGAGGGAGTGGGAGGAGAAAAAACATTAAACTTGTGGGTGTGTAATATTCCATCTCAAACATTGCTTTGATTTTATTTCATTTCCTGGCATCACTTTGTTTTTCCCAATCAGGATATTTGTTTTGTTCAAGATGTGAATGTTCAGGAGTAAAGGACACGTGGAACAAAGCTGTTATTATTTCTGTAACATACTTGGACTTGCTGTGTTATTTTGCCCTCCTTTTCATGAGATCATTTGTTCTCCTCAGCTTCACTATCATTTTGTGAAGTGTAAATTTGCCTTCCAAGGAACTACACTATGCATAATGCAAAATTCTGCATCTTTCAAACTTTGTCTAAGGACTAGAGAACCAAAACTGTGGAAAAGCCTGGATGGTCTCAAGGCTCCAAGTCCATCTCCAGAGATCTGGCTAGTCCTGAGTCCACTGTGCATAACATTGTCAAGACATTTACAGCCCATGGTGCTGTAGCTACTCTCCCTGGACTTGGACAAAAGAGAAGAATAGATGACAGATTGCAATTGCAATGAAGGATAGTTCCAATGGTGGATAAAGAACCTCGATCAACCTCCAAATTGAAGCTGACCTGCAGACACAGGGTGCACTCACACTATTTGTCACCATCTGAATGACAAGGGACGCTATGGGAGGAGACCCAGGGTGACCCACTGCTGACACAGAGAAATAGAAAAGCCAGACTGGAGTTTGCCAAAGCCGAGGAAGCCACAGTCCTTCTGGGAGAATGTCCTGTGGACAGACTAAGATAGAGCTTTTTGGTTGAGCACATCATTCTACTGTTTTCAGAAAATGAAATGTGTTATGGTTTGTGGACTTGCTTCCTGTTTGGTGCTTTTATTTTGGTTAGATTTCCTATCTCGTGTCACCTCACCTGCCCCAGCTTTATCCCAGTTCACAATTACTGTTCATTGCTTCCACCTGCTGCTCATTACCCCCTGGTTCTTCAGCCCATATATTCTCCTCCTTTCCCTGAGTCACTTGCTGGTTCCTTCTGCTCACCACACCCTGCCAGATTATGTACTCCTATAAGTTCTGTATCTGTCTCCTGTTTGTTCCTGCCCTTTATACCTTCAGACTGTTTCTCTTTGAGTTTTGGATTTACTTATCAATAATGATTCCTGGTTTGTTTCTTCAATTTTGTGTTAGTGTGTTAGTTAATTTATCCTAGCTCCCTGACAACTGTTTTGTTGTTGGCCTTAATCAGTATTTTTGTTACTGTTAGGTTCCATCCTTCTTGGTCCGCTTTACCGGAGACCGGGTCGCAGGTGCAGTAGCCTCCCAGACTTCCCTCTCCCCACACACCTCCTCTAGCTCCTCAGGAGGAACCCCAAGGCATTCCCAGGCCAGCTGGGAGACATAGTCTCTCCAGCGTGTCCTGGGTCTGCCCCGAGGCCTTCTCCCAGAGGGACATGGCCGGAATACTTTCCCAGGAAGGCATCCAGGGGGCATCCTAAATTATAATTGAACCCAGCAGACCCAGCCGATGACATCACCATGCAGGTGCTCAGGGCACTATGCGTCCAGCTTGACACCACCTGAAACCCGGTGGACCACTTGGCCATTTGCGGTAAGATGGATGAGCTCATTTGGAAACACCTGGCTAGCGCACCTCCTGATGACCATGGACATCCTCGCCCAGATCGAGGAACTCCGAGCTGAGCAGCAGGCGTATCTGGACACTTGTTGGAAGGACGGCTCCTTTTGGGCCATCCATAATTAAAGAGCAAGATTGCCTTGAGGAGCCGCTCCCATGTTTCAAATTTGCAAGACTGGGCACTGTAGTGCACTCTGGCCACTAGACCCTGGTTGGGGGTGTCCTTGTCAACAGCCATGGATTCCATCTGCCCTGCTATGTCTTTGTAAAATAATTCGGTAAAACTGATGTTTACAAACTATTTGAATTTGAATAAAAAATAAATCCATTATTCATGCTTGACTTCTGGATTTCATTTTTTGACCTGTATCCAAAACGACACACTCCCATCGTGACTTTAAAAAAAATAGTCATGAATGGTATTGGTAGTGTGATCATACTACAACTTCGAAAATAAAATACTTTATATTATTAAAGATATCTTGCTACAAGCAGTAGCAAGTCTGTCCTCTCATTAATTATAAGCTCTCTGTTCTTTAAAAACAAAAATTGGTTTTAAAAACTGACTCATCTTCACCATTTCTTTTCCATTATTTATCCAAAACTGGGAGCACACTGTCTTTGTGGGGATACACCACTCAGGATCCTGCATTCCACCTCCACAAAGTAAATGCTTGAATTTTACAAAAACATTGTTGTTTAAAGTCTCCATGGCTGCTCATTTTGCTTGTTTCCAGCCATTTAAATTTTAATCTTGGGTAAAATCGATATAATCAGAGCACCCCTTCCTAAAAACTTGCCATGGGCTCTTTTAAGGTTAGTTTAAGGGGCTAGAGAGACATTATGTCAATTATGTCCTGACAAAGATAGTTGTACAGACATATGTTTGTGTGTGTGTGTATGCAGGTAAGGCTGAGTTCATCCATATGGGTGAGGAGGTGGACGGGGTGGATATGAGGGCAGAGGTGGGCCTGCTGAGTCGTAACATCCTGTTCCATGGCGAGATGGAGCCTGGCTGCTATGGCAATGAAGCCTACAATTTCTTTGACTTTGACACATTCGGTGGACATTTGAAGGTACACTATTCTAACCTTATTTACAGAACAGGCAACCAGGTGATCATGTATGAACCACTGTCTGCCAGTAATTACTGTTGCCTGAAGATGAGCGCTGAGCAGTTAGATCTATCTGCTTTTTTTTGCAACAGCTACTGATGCCAATTATGTAATTCTTGACCTTGGAAATGACAGTTGACAAAACAATCTTAGGATTCAGTTGCTAGTTTTCAGCTTTAAGTCAGATTCATCCATCCATCCATTTTCCTCCACTTATCCGGAACTGGGTTGCGGGGGCAGCAGTCTAAGCAAAGATGCCCAGACTTCCCTCTCTCCAGACACTTCCTCCAGCTCCTCCAGGGGAATGCCAAGGCGTTCCCAGGCCAGCCGAGAGACATAGTCCCTCCAGCATGTCCTGGGTCTTCCCCGGGGCCTCCTCCCGGTGGGACATGCCTGGAACACCTTCCTAGGAAGGCGCCCAGGAGGCATCCGAAACAGATGCCCGAGCCACCTCAGCTGGCTCCTCTCGATGTGGAGGAGCAGCAGTTCTATTCTGAGCTTGTCTCGGGTGACCGAGCTCCTCACCCTATCTCTAAGGGTGCACCTGGCCATCCTGCGCAGGAAGCTCATTTTGGCCGCCTGCATCTGGGATCTTGCCCTTTCGGTCATGACCCAAAGCTCATGACCATAGGTGAGAGTCGGAGCGTAGATTGACCAGTAAATTGAGAGCTTCGCCTTACAGCTCAGCCCCTTCTTCACCATGACGAACCGGTACATCGAATGTGTCGTGGCTAGAATGTGATACAGACTAAAGTAATTAGACAAATCATCCCAATTTAATCAACCATTTAAAATTACAATTATTCTGAACAGAGTAGAAGTTAAATAGGTAATCCGGTAGTTAGGGAACAGAGAACAGAATCACTCCTGCAATGGAATAGACACAGTATTAATTAAGAAGATTGTCACAGAGTCAGTCAGTCTTGATCACAGGATACAGTCAGTCCTGAGTTCATTCCCCCTACCCCCAGGCCTGCGTCTGTAAGAGCACACTGTTTTGTCACAGTAGCATTCTTTTTCTCTATCTCCATACCCTTCAGGCTCACTGTTTTATCCACAGCTTTCTTTAGGTTGTTACATCAATTTCCGAACTTAGCTTCCTGTCTCCAGTTTTAGGAGACAACACCCTGAGATGTATCCAAAAACAGGAAACATCTTGGCCAAATTAAATAAGCCTATTGTCCAGCTCACATGAACTTAAAAGTGAGCACACAATCACTCTATTCTATTACATAATCCATATTAACATGTAACTTAAACCACTACAAACGCATTACTGCAGAAGCTACACCAATCCGCCTGTCAATCTCCCGTTCCATCCTTCCCTCACTCGTGAACAAGGCTCCAAAATACTTGAGGCAGGAGCTCCCCACCAACCTGAAGGGAACAAGCCACCCTTTTCCGACTGAGAACCATGGCCTCGGACTTGGAGGTGCCTATTCTCATCCCAGCTGCTTCACACTGCTTTGCAAACTGTCCCAGTGCACGCTGAAGGTCCTGGCTTGATGGAGCCAACAGGACATCATCTGCAAAAAGCAAAGATGAGATCCTGTGGTCCCCAAACCGGACTCCCTCTGGCCCCTGGTTGCGCCTAGAAATTTTGTCCATAAAAATGATGAAGAGAACCGGTGACAAAGGGCAACACCCTGGTCGGTCAGTCCAGAGGCACTGTCCCCAACCGCCATGCGACGTTGCAGAGGCGTGTCAGCCAAGACAGCCCACCAACATCCAGAGACATAAGGTACTCAGGGTGGATCTCATCCACCCCCGGTGCCTTGCCACCAAGAAGCATCAACTACCTCGGTGACTTCAGCTTGGGTGATGGATGAGTCCACCTTCGAGCCCCTGGCCTCTGCTTCCTCATCGGAAAACATTATGATAAGTCAAATCCTAGGCTATCAAAATCACAGAATGTTACCTTCTCCAACAGTAACAATTGCATCTAGTTTAGCTTTAGTGAACTATGAGGAGGAAATATAAATACAATTTAAAAAGAGGCTCATTAAGGCCCTCGGGCTTTATTATTGCACCTGCTGATTAACACATATAGTGATGGGTCAGAAATCAGTTAGCAGAGGCTTTTCATCGAGTACATAGAGGAAAAAGAGCAACCAAATAGGACACTGATTATCCATAAAGAATTTGAGTAGAAATTATTTTTGAATTAAGTTGGGTTAAAAAAGTTTGTACAAGTATAAGAGCAGCTCTGTGAAGCTACTGTAAATGTTAATGTCAGCATGCTAATGTGCTCACAATGACATTAACATGTAAATGTTTAGCAGGTATGATATTTACCATGTTACCATGTGAGGCTGGTAACACAAAGTAACACACACAAAGTACAGCTGAGGCTGATGGAACTGTCATTAATCTAGTAGGTGTTTAGTCATAAGCCAAAGTATTGGAAAATTGAAATTTTGGCTAGATGAAAAGATTTTTATTTGCCATTTATGCATAAACAGACAGTCTAGGCATATAGGAATTCTTGTGCAGGGCTCTCCTGGAGTCAAGTAAAGATGAAAAGTCATGTTGTCATGTTTGAACCAAATTTCATAGCAAAAAAAAAAAACTAGGAAAACTTCACCTACTGCCAAGGTTCCTAGATAAGCAAAAAACTGTAGCTTTTTGTATGGATGCTGAGTCAGCATCCATACTATGTTATCCTGGTCTTTATTATTGTATGTATTGTATTATACAGTACTACATTTTCCAATTATTTCTTTATTATTATTATTATTGTATGGATGCTGATTCAGCATCCGTACTAAGTTTTCCAATTATTTTTTTATTGTATGAATGCTGACTCAGAAGTTTTCAAAACTTCATACATTTTAAATATTCAGCTTTATTTTGAAAATCTTGCCCCATTCAAATGAATGGGAAAATTCTACTTCAGCTAACTTTCAGCTATTTCAGCTATCAAAATGTTCAGCCTTTCAAGGACATTCATATTACTATTCAGAAATTTTCTAAACTTCATACATTTTAAATATTTAGCTTTATTTTGAAAATCTTGCCCCGTTCAAATGAATGGGGAAATTTTTACTTCATACTTTCAGCTATTTCAGCTATTAAAATGTTCAGCTCTAAAATGTTCAAGGCCCCCTTCTTGAACCGCCACCTTATTGTGGTGGAGGGGTTTGAGTACCCGAGTGATCCTAGGAGCTATGTTGTCGGGGGCTATATGTCCCTGGTAGGGTT